TATATATATATATAATATTTATATATATATATACACACACACATATATATATGTATATATATATATCAATCATTCATATATCTTCCGTTACATACCTTTGGTTTTTAAGACAAACATTGTACGTCCTTTTGATTAGGATCTTATGAAAAAATGATCGGCACTTTTTCAAAGAGAATTAAATTAATTTATAGGGAGAGGATTCTACAACTCAGTTAACCGGGCATGAGATTTATTTTTTTTTTATTTGTTTAATATGAGCGAGATGCAGATCATTTTATTTTTATTTAGTTATATTTACAGTACATGAATAATTACTGAAATTATTTTTTAGATTACACGTTTTTCAAATTTCAGAAATACATTTTGAATCATGCTGATAAATGTCAGAACGGACACTTAAAATGTGTAACCATTTCTAAAATGATCAATCTTAGTTCTTACTCGTATAATTTTGTTTTCTTTACTTTCTACATTTAAATTTTTGGTCCTTGCATTAATTTCAACCCAGTTTAACAAACCTTTGTAAGTCTTAACTATCTACAGTACCTAAGTGCAGAAATATTGCAACTGTTTAACATTTATTCCTTTATTTCATCCCCAGGGATACATGGATGACTTGTTGCAGGTTGGGAATTTCCCCAAAGTGAAGCCAGTTGACTCCTTTGTTTTATATATTTATTATTCTGTAACCTGGTTTGCCAGTGAGATCTCCATGGTAACACTACTAATGACTGTCTCCTGAACCTGTAACTGTCTCTTGATGGACTTCAGCACAGATTAAGAGGAAAAGGGGAATATAAACAAAGGATGAACCTGCTCAGGAGAATGCCTCCCTCTCTAAAAATGTGATAATCTAAAGTAACAAATCGCACCCAAAGACAAATAAAGTGCACAAGCACAGTGACTGTGTGGGACTGAAGAGGTATCTCTGTAGAACTGTGGAAAATAGTGCAATTTCTGTGGATGCATGCTTAGATATCATCAAAGAGAGACACTGCACTTAAATGTTGACAACCTAGACTGTATGGGATGTTTTCGGTAGATGTTACAATACCACTGGCACAGTGAAATACAAAGTCTATTCAGTGAAAAAGTTAATAAAAATGTTTAAAATGTTTTTGCTAAAAGTCAGGTATTAATCTTTGAGACAATCATAATGAATCTGCAAAGCGTGCAGAATACTCAGCGTGATGTCGATCATCCGCTCAAATAACCCAATGATGGTCTCTGTTAACCATATTTCATTATATTTAACTCATTGCAAACACTGGAATAACAGATATGGTTAGAAAACAGAAACGGAGTGAAGTGCCTTGCAAAAGTATGTCACAATCACAAACTTCTGTGTAATTCATGTGAATTCTGACAGATGAACACAAAGTAGCGCATAGTGTGAGGGATTGCTTTTGAATCAATGAGGTGATGCAATCAGCTGGTTTTCTTTAGATAGAAAACTTTGAACGAATCTGACTGTATGATCTGGTTGAATTCTCTCTGTAAAGTGCCTTGAGATGACATGTTCTGTGAATTGGCACTATGGAAATAAACTGAATTGAATTAATAATAATTTTTTAAAAAAAATTTATTATTTTTTTTTTTTTTCAGTTGTGCTTGAAAG